TCTATATACGAGCATTTTGGCAAAATTCATCGGACACCCTGTATATATAAATTTAGAACTAGACCATTTTTATTTAAAATTGCAATTTTATTGTTATCTAGGTTCGTTTATCGATAAAAGATACTAAAAAAAAATGTAATTTTGCAAAAATATATAAAGGTATTACGCCATAAATATGTATTCTTATTTCTAAAATACCTGTATAATAAAATTAATAAATCATGAATTTAGTCCTATAAATAATAAACTAACTAGGCTGGATTGTTCCATCTTTTGGTAAACTTCAGCTCACTCTGTCTTATTCTCTTACTCTCTTATGCTTTTACTCATTTATTTTTTTGATTATCCAGTAGATACATTATTACATAGAAATAATTTATCCGAAGATGAAATAACGTTATTATTCGGATTATTTATGTTGACCGAAAGGGACCTTGCCAATTCTAAACGAGATTCTCGCGTCTAGTCAATGGCGGAGCCATTGGAATTAATACTTCCAAAATGCCTAATCACAATTTTAACATTCCAAAAATATTTTTTCATTTAAGAAACTCTCATAGATTCTTGCGGCTTACTGCTCTATTGTTAATACCGCGTTATGCAGCTTTATACGAAAGTCACTAATTGCAAGACTACATAAAATATTGCTGTGCCTGCCAACAAGTATCGCTTCTGAACAAAGTTTTTCAGCTCTTTGGTATTTAGAAGTTTAAAACATAAACACACAGAAAGTTTGAAACACATCAAAATTCTTAAAGAAACAGTGTTGAATAGGTTTACTAGAAATAGAAAATGTAAATCAGATAATTTATTGTAAAACGTTATGCCTATATGTCATTTTTTTTGCTAATATAATTCAAAATAAAATGTTTGATGAGTTAAATATTTACTTAGTACTTTTTCAGTGTAATGTTAATGATAATCCAAATAGTCTATTTTTTCGATTAATTGTAAAAAAAATTTCGCTTGCAGCGCGAAAATTTAATAAGTACGTAATAAGAACGAAAAGAAACGAGAATAATGTGAAATAATTAAATTTTCTCTTTTTCTTTGTTACTCGTTCGTTACAATTGACGCATGATGTTTTAGAAACACGACAATCCAAAAATCAACTCACATATGTAAATCCACCAATGGCCTTCTCCCTTCAGAAATGTCTGGATCCGACCTGGCGTTTGATAATGGATCGCGTATAAATGATTAACATAAAAATATCTAGAGTAAGACTACTGAATATGTACGATATCTATTGCTAACGAAAACGCACCAGAATCAACAAATTATCTAAGAATTTAAAATATTCAATAGATATGTTTGAATACAAATGCATGAATCCCAGCTTCGGTTTAGAATTACATTTCAAAATCGAAACGACGAAATCGGCATGCAGTTTACTTGAAACGGAGATTGTTGGATAGTGTTCGCTAGTATCTAGATGAAATTATCTAGATAATCTAGATAAAATGGCTTCATCTTATCTTTACTAGAATATGTGTGTATATTGTCTTTATCTGTGTTTTAGATAAAAAAGTATTATATTTTCTCAAATTTTCTAGATAATGGATTTCCATCTTCAATAATTTAAACAGGATAATTGTCTAGATAATTTGAGAAAAGGTAACATTTTTTTATTTAAAATTAACAGATGAAGATAATATATATAATTCTAGTAAAAATAAGATGACGCCATTTCATCTAGATACAGGAAACTGTTCAACAATCTCCGATTCAAGCAAATTACGTCCCGATTATTTGTCGATTTTTAAACGGTCGGTTAGTAATTCTAAACCGGAGCTGGGGTACGTTTGTGACGCTATTGTATTTGTAATATATATAGGTATATATCCAAGTCGAATACAATGAATCCCAATGACTTTGATCACCTTTAGCTTTATATAAAAAGTCACTAAACGGGACCGATCTGATTCTGAATTATTAATGCGTGCATGCATCATTATTCTACAGTTACTCGGTAGCAATGTATAATGTATTTCTTCAAAGATTACAACAAAAAGCAAAAAAAGAATTTTAAACTTACCACGAGAATTCTTGTCTAGACATTTTATTATGTAGATATATTTAAAAACTCGTATCGTAAATATCCAATATCAGCACAATAATCAAAATCTACCAATATTAAACAGTACTGTGTATTATACAGTAATGCATTACGTGCTGATGCCTCGAAGCGAAAGAAAGAAATAACTAATGCAAGTATACACCAACGTTACTTTGACTTTAAGCGAAACTTAAAACTCTATCTGTTTCATCCACTCTCTCGGAGTCTCCTGACTACTCAGCCAAGAACTCTGCGTTGAGACGGTGACGACACCGAATCAGACGGCGCGTGGCGGTCTAGCGAAACCGGTAGCAATACCTTCAGGCACGAGCTCATGTCGTGTGCTCGCCTGCGGCGCGCCGAGGGTGCGAGCGAGACAGCAAACTCCTTCTGAAGCCCATTCTACGTAAGACGCAGAACACGGATCGCAAAACTAGAAACTAGAAACTAACCTAACGTATTTTAGTTATGATATGATTGTAGGACGCAGAACGCAGAAAGTTGGGTCAACTTCAACTTTCTGCGTTCTGCGTTCTGCGTCCTACAATCATATCATAACTAAAATACATTAGGTTAGTTTCTAGTTTTGCGACCTGCAACCCGCGTTCTGCGTCTTATGGAGAATGGCCTTTATACGTATTGCGACCTGCGACCTGCGTCCTACGTCTTAAGCGTGATTTACACGGGCGACTTTTATTCGCTAGAAACCGCGTCTAGTGACGTCATTAATTCGCCAGCGAATTCTCTCGACTCTGCTGCTATTCGCTTGAAGTAAGATTTTTAATTCGTCAGCGAATTCGCTGATGAAAGCTTCTTCTACACGCTTGGTTTTTATTCGCTAGCGACTAAAATTTTGAAGCCGCAGCGTTGAGCGATCGCTAATGATCAAGCGAATAGTTGTGCATAAATCACAACAGCGACTCGAAGTATGTCATTCGATGACATGGTTATTCTCTAATGCTTATGGTTGAGTGACCGAGACGTTTCGAAAAAATTCGTCTTTTTACGCTGACGACTTAAAAATTCGCTCTGGAAGAGCAGCAAGAAGCTAGCAAGAAGCTAGTGACAAGCCAGCGACAAGCCAGCGTCAAGCCAGCGTCAAGCCAGTGACAAGCGTCGAAAGCGGTATTCGCCGCGAGTATACGCTACAAGAGC